AGGTGGGCGGTGGGGACCCGGGGAGGCCGAGACCGCTGGAGAGGGCTCGGGGGAGTCCAGCTCTACCTAGGCGGTGTGGGACACCCGGGGCCTCTCACTTATCACCGCTGAGCCCCTGCGTCTGAGCTGCCTTTGGGCTGTTGGCCTGGGGTCCGCACAGCCTCCTGGGGGTCTTTTGAGCTGTTTTGGCTTCTTTATGTCTGTCGTTGCTATCGTGACTGCAGACTCGCTGTGGCGAGACGGCAGAATACAGCTTCTGCGGTCCCCTTCTCGTTCCTGAGCATCATGGAGAGAGGACCAACTGCTTCAGCTCTGGGGCTGACAGGCCCAGACTGGCACCTCTGGAAAAGGAGCTCTTAACTTTTCTGGGCCTTGCTGCTGCAGCAAAAGGTCAGCGCTTCAGCCCCAGAGGGCTCTGGGAGCTCATCTTTATAGAGCATGTGTTTCTGATCTAGTTCTGGGGCAGCAAGCTCCTGGCTGTTAATGTGCTTGCATCTTCAGGGGTCATTATGAAGAGATAAGAAGACCTGCAATCCCGAGCTCGACTGCCTGCTTGGGTTGGGTGATGTTACCTGCTCTCTGGAGCTCTTTTCTTGGGAAAGCTCCAAGATAAGCATCTGGAAATATCAGCACCTGAAATATGTTCTTCAGGTGCCTCACAGAGGGCTGGCTCAGCTTCAAGAGCTGCTCTGGCCTGGTCAGGGAGGGCATTCGAGGTGTGAGGACTCCATAGGTCATGGCACAGAGGTTCGCTGGCCGAAAATGAGGTGGCCACCAGTGTGTGCCAGGAATTCTGGCACTTTCCCAGTGCTTACAGATGGTGCTGCTGATCCTCAGACACATCTGAGTGCCCAGAGCATGCTTCTCGTCCCCTGTCCTGGGGGAGCAGGGCTGCCAGCCTGTTCCTTGCCCTGCAGCTTGCCTAGGCAGCCCAGGGTCGCTGGGTGGGTTTTCTGTCAGGGACAGAGTGGCAAGTGTGACAAGCATGATGCTGCATCGCAGTTCCCAGGGGCTTGAATCTAAGCTGCAGCTTATCACTGTGCATGTGTCATTAGATCCGTAAGCATTAGATCTTGAATTGCTCTGTTTGTTAGCATCTGTCATGCACTATTTTTTTGCTAACTACATTATCCTTATGCTACGCACTCGCTGTACTGCTAATTGGTACCAGCAAGATTTGTTTAACTAAACATGGGGTTTTTTAAGGATACATGTTTTGTATCCTTAAACATTCCTTTTAGAGACTTGCTGGTCTGCTCACTCTCTGTGCAGACCTTGGGCAGGTTCTGCTGGCTCTCTGGATGGCAGAGATCCAGCTGCTTTACCCAACATGGTTTTGAGTAACTTACTACCACATTTGCACCAATAAAATAATTAGAGGTCATATTCTGGAGGTTCGTAGCATGGCTTTGCCTGAGGAAGATTGTCCCTGTGTGCTCCAAGACAGTCCTGTTGTTGTCTTTATTACTCTGCCAGAAGAAAAGTCTTTGTAGGATAAGTACTGTTATCTTTTCTGTTGTGGAGTGTGCTGTGAAGTCATGGGTACAACCAGTGCTTGGGAGATGCTGGAGGTCCCAGAAGTGTACTTTTGCAGCCTTTTTCTAGGTGATCACATTTGAGTAGGGTCAGCCTGGTGAGTCCACCAGAGAAAATGCTGCGTGATTTTTACTTTAAAAACTCTACTGTGGCCATTATATCAGTACCCACCGAGTCCTCAGAGTTTCTCTCTGTCCCTGGGTTTCACGTCCCCCTCTGTTCCAGTGCTAATCAGTTTGGTTCTTGCTCATTTCTTTCTTCTGCCCCCATTCCTGCCCAGGTCTCAACCCTGCTCCTGCCTTCCCAGCCCTCTTCTCCACCCCTCACCTCACTGCACCAGCCAGAGACTCTTCTCCCTCTCTTCCTGGGTGCTTGGCTGCTGGCAGAGGGAGCACAGAGCGCTCTGCCTTCACCATGCCTGCAGCACTCAGCCCTGCACCCTGAGGTCCATCCTCCCCCAGGCAGTAGCTTGGGACTGGGCTTTATGGTCCCGTTTGCAAAGCTCCCTCATAAAACAAGGTGTTGATATTTTTAAGGTGGACAAACAGCATGTTGTTAATCCTCCTCTTGCATTCTTAGAAATAGATGTGCTCTTTTGTTGAAACATCTCAAATAAATCCAGTCTAGAGCAAAAGAAAACAGTCCAAATGCTGGGCACAGGTGGTGAAATATGGCTTCCTAGCTACAAATTGTTCAGCCTGTTGGCTAATTTCAGTCTTCTTTCATAGCGAGAGAGAAATTTCAAAAATAATTGTTTCTACAAATCTAAGAAAATGAGATCTTGAGGGAACAGTTGGCTTTGAAAGTTTGCCTTTAATAACCTAGAATGTGTGAGCTGATTTTTAAAGTCATTGTGGCAAATTGCCTGTCACTGCTCAGGTACTTGGCTGGAGTGAAGGAGGACCATTTTACAGGTGCCTGCAGAGATGGTCAGTGATGAAGTCAATAACTCAGTTAGCAATCCAGCCAGCAAGCACATGCTGTAGGCAACCAGGCTTCCCATGTTTGCAGAATTCCTCATTTTGCACTGGCATTTTTGTTGGTTTTTATTAACACTGGTGAAATGCTACTTTTTCTCATGTCAGGATTGTTGTGTCCTTCTCCGCAGGTCTCCTCAAAGATCCTGGCTCAGACGCTTGGGTGAAGGTTTTAAGTTCCTCGGACTGTAAATATTCTTTTGAGCCTCAGGCAATTCCCTGCAGCGTAACCTGGAGGAGAAACATGCCGAACACTCTGCCCATTCCAGTGAGTCCCTCTCATCCTCTCTGTGCATGTAAACCAGCAACTGATGTGCTGTGGGGAGAAAGTTTTGACTTGCCTCTCTAGGCTGGCAGTGGAGTCACCAGCCTCAGAAAAGCTGATTACTGGTGACCTTGGGGAATGGACCTGCATCTGACTCTCACAGATTATTCCAAAGCCAATGTTTTTTAAACTTCTACATCTCACTGTTTTAGCCAGGCATGCATCTAGGGTGAGCCTGGGGAGCCTGTAGTAAGCAAGAATGAGACCACTGTCAGTTATTCATACCGAAGTTTTGCTTGGGTACAGTGTTTCCAGCCCAGAGGCTGCTTGCGGCATGCTGCCACGGGCAACAGCTGCATATCTGGGAGAGGCTGGGCAAATCTGCTGCAGGACCCCTGGATTGGAAAGCCCAGCAATTGCTTCCTGAGCCCCCTCACTGGGAACCTGAAAGGGATAACTTCTGTGACCAAGTACGGTTCCCATTTCAGTTTGGTTTCAGAAAGTTCCATGTCAAACTGTGTTCGTGTGGCAATAGAGGCTGAGGTAGGCTGTTCTCCTGCTCACCCCCACTACAGAAATTCCAGGTGGAGACAGAAATCTATTTCTGCCGTTGCTGGATAAAACATTACAAATACTGTGGTCATATAATAGAGTACAGATAATGTAGGTGCAGATAACGTGGCCATCTAACAGTGTGCAGTGCAGACAAAGCCATTTTCTGTCCTTTTATCTTAGTAACTTCTGCAGTTGTCACTGCCTTCCTCACCACATTATTTTTGCACCTTCAGTGATCTGCCTGTTTGGGGAACATTTTTACCTTTCAGTTCAGCCATGGGTCTCTCACCAGCATAGTATTAATGAGTGTTAGTGCCTCTTACAGTGTGGGCTCTGCACAGGTAGATACTCGCTGGCTGCTTTCATGCTGGACTTCTGCTTGTGTTGGAAATTATTTCATCTTCTTTAGGATGGCTTCATGGTGAAGACTGGAGAGGAGAACGAGGTGTTGGTGTTGTTAGAGCCAGAAGATTTTCTTAAGCGCATCTTCTCCCTAACCCAGGTGATACAGAGCTCTGAGCCAGACCTACACAAAGTGCTCTATAGCAGAGTCACTTTGCCAGGTGAACACAGAATGGGAGGGAGGGTTTATTCAAAACTGCCCTTCCTCCAGCCTGAAACAAAGCTGTACAGAGGGCTGTGATTTGAAAGGAGAGAACATGTGGGAAAAGCCCTGTCTGAGGACAGCAGGAGGTCTTTAGGGATATGGCACCTGCCTTTAACCCTGGGAGAGGGTACTGCTTTCCTCAGAGGGGAGCTGGGCAGGCCAGACTTGCTTTTCCTTGCATTTAGCTTTTCCGTTGTCATGGAGTCCATAAAATATTTGCTTGAAAGAAACATTCTGAGCGCACAGCCCTTGGAAACAGTTGCCTTTTGAAGCAGAGAGATTGGCATTAGTTCTCATCTGTGTGCAGTCCTATGACTTTTTATTTATACCTGTCTGAACAGCCTGTGCTTCTGCCCTGAAAAGTTCTTAGTCCATCCAGCCCCGTCCAGGACTAGAGAATGACAGGCTAGAATAGGCAGTGTCTGTGAGGAGATCAGTGCTAATGCTCCAGGGAAAATGGTGAGCCAGAAGAAGCAGCAGGACATTGGCAGATGTGGCGTGTGCTACGTACCCAAAGTCAATGCTCTTGACTGCATTCTGAGGCTGGCTTCTGCCTGTTCCCACCACTGAGATGTACCTTAGGAGGCCCCACTGTCCTGCTGGAGATGGGGAAGGGTATTTTGGAGAGGAAGGCTGCTACAGACTTGGGTGTGATTTGTCTTGCTTCAGAGTTTTGTCAATGACCCGTCAGCGAGTCAGCCCGACCTGAGCCAAGTGTTGCCTTTGGCCAATCTGGAGGGCTCTTCCACCAAAGCCTACAGCCTGGCTGTTGTTGGACTGGATGCCTACAGGCGGTACGTGCTGGGCAAGCAGTGGTGCTGGGGAAGCTCACAGCAAGCAGTCATCAGCTTGTCCACAGTGGGGACACATTGGTCACTGCGCTGCTGAAGCTTGGTGCCAGCGTAGTGGCTGTGAATAATGATGTTCATGCTCATGGGGGCCAGGATTTTGGTTTTGTAGTCCTGACTGTGTACTTTGCGTATGCACTTATGGCAGGATCTGGTAGCCAGAAGGGGTTCACAGGTAAGACTTCTCTCTGTACCCCAGGCAGAGGGCTGGAGTGACACGGAGGAGCTGAGGGAACTGCTCTCACTGATTGCCTTGCTGTTCCTAGCACTGTGTGCAGCTCACAAAGTATGGAGAGATGTTCAATGCCTGGAGCCCTGTTCTTGTCCCCTGAATGTCTCATTCCTGTGCTGCTCTCAGTGCCTGGATTCTTTGTCTGCATGTGCATGGCAAAGGAATCACCTCCATGGTGATAGCTTGATCACTTCCACAGTTCCTCACGTAGACAGAGCTACAGTAGCTCAATCTGTTCTGTTCAGTCTGGGATATTTCCCAGGGAGAGCTCTTGTCTCACCACCTCCTGGGCTTTTTCTCACTTAAGCCTGTGAGGATGAATTTTGCCAAGAATGTTATGGTTAAAAAAATCAGCTGTGGCCTGTTGAGTTCGGCCACCAGAGGAACCGAGTGGCCCTCACCCTGGTTTTAGGTCTCCTCTCCCTTGCAGGGGAGCTGCCACCACTCAGGAGTGCAGGTGGCCTGGTGCAAACTCAACACCACTGTCTCCACCTTCAAGTCAGATTGGGAGGGAGCAAATGTGGGTGGGTTAAGTTTGGCCTTTTCCTCTTGATCAGACAGCAGCCCTGAGGTGTGAATACATAGAGCTTGTGTGTGAGCACTGTGTCTTGCTTGTAGGCATAACCAGGAGCAGAGCAAGAAGCAGGCGCTGAGCCATGGAATGCAGAGTCCTAGCTCCCAGCCTGGCTCAGAGCTGGCTTTGACTCAGGAAGAGATACTGGAGGTAAAACTTAGTACAGTTCTTGAAGTTCTGTGTTACTTGGGGTTGAGCTGTGTGGAAAAGGCTCCCACTGATGAGCCCTTGTGTGTAAGGAATGCTTTGCCAGGGAAGGTGATGGCTGGCTTGGATCAGGTTGCATCCGCTTGCATCCACCTTCACCCTGGCTGGCAATGGAATTGAAGAGGGACTGCAGACTTTGAGACATAGTTTGGAGCTGTTTGTTCTTAAGACCTTGGTTCAGATCTGACCCAGCCTCCCCTCCCCTACCCCGCTAAGAACTAGCCAGTTAGCTGTGAAAGGAGCTGTTGGGTTTTGCTCGGGACTCTG